CCTGCTAGTAAGACTGACCACCAGGAAGAAAGTAATATTGACCAAGAAGATGACTCTGACTCTGAATCGTAATAAATTTTCCTTTTATGTCATTATTGATTATTAACAATTATTTTTTTATCTAAAAATAGAAAATGTTTAATTTTTCTGTACCTTATTAATGTAGCAAGTTGTTTCTCAATAAAAATTTTGACGACGAAAACTGTAGTAACTCATTCAAAATTATTATCCTAAACTATGTTATTTAGATCATTCTTCAATAATTAATTAAGACCTAAACAATAATTACTTTGTTAAAGAAGAACGATTTAGCTTTAGTAATAAAAAAATAACGAACAATATTATTTTCTCAACTATTCGGATGCAATTACCTCACAATCAGTATAACTAAATTTGAGATTCGACAGTTTTCCTTGGGAGAGTCGATATGCACCCTAATAACAGACAAAACCAAATAGGCCCCGATTTCTATTTTTCCCGACGGCCCCTAAAAGAGCCAGACCGGGCCTTGGCACTAAGACTTTGTAATAGTTCTTTTTCTATCGTCATCATTGATAAGTTGTTGACCATCGCTTACTGGATCTGTCTGAATTAACTAAAATTTTGTGTAATTTTATGGTAACTAAAAGGGTTTCACTCCATTTACTCAGACCTTTGTTTTAAAAGGAAATAAACCTTAACAAAAGCAAACGTAAGGATTACTGATGCTGATACTATCTTGTAGTAATTTGACATATTACAATTTCAGGAACTTTGGGGCCAGGCAGATTCGAATTACCCTTCACCTTCCAACTGCCCTCTAATATTCCTGGTACCTACCAGGGTCACTATGGAGGGATCTTTTTTACGCTCACCGCCAATGTCGACAGGTCCTTCAATATGAACTATAAGGACACCATACAGATCATAGTAGCTTCCCTCATAGACTTCAATCATATGAGAGGCTTAATCCAGCTGGTAAGAAACCATATTACTAGACGTTGTTTGTTCTGCGGCTGTAGCATTATGTCTACATTCACCGTAAATCAGCATGCGTCAAAATAGTAAACAGTAGAATTACAAGTACATCAAACCAAAATTTCACATACTGTTACAATAAAAAAATTATCCTAATGTAGCAATATTATAATATTGACAATACACTAAGAGAACTTATAATTTAATACTCTTCCAGAAGTAAAGTCTAATTTATTTGATATTTACCAGGAACCAGTCGCTTATTCCGTTGATAAAACCATATGCTGCTGCTGTTGCGCTAGTGGTCCCATAACCATGGCAGTGCATCTAGAGAAAGAAGCGTTTGTGGTGGGGGAAGTAGCTAATATCAGGGTGGATATATCTAATATGTCCAACGAAAATATTGAGGGGGTCAATGTTAAACTGAGCATGGTAAGTTAATCCGACATATTTCCTTAAACTTAATCATATAACCTTTCCATGTGTCATTTAATAGACTAAGTATAGTCTTTCCGAAGTCAGTTGAACATGTAAAAAAACGCCTGGCAATAAAATTTAATGACTTTCATAGGCGTCCCTAAAAAAGTTTTCTGCTAAAGGTAAAAAATTATAATAATATGCATATAATGTGTAGAAAATTTCTATACGTTCATTTGGCCAACTACATATTTTAATTATTTATGTCCTCAAACAATTTTATTATATTGATGGTAAATTTCGTTTTGTTCCTTTTCAAAAGGTCTCCAAAATGCCATATTGTAATAATATTATTTATCCCTTTGGCAATTGTAATATAAGGTGCCTATAATAAATTAAATTTACCTGAATCACACCAAATTCCGCATTACTGCACTGCACTGCTGTGCCATTTGTCAACCACTTGTCAACAGCTAAGATTTATTGCCCAGTGGCCAAATGCAGCTGTGTTAGACGGCAGTAACAGCATTTTTAACCTCACCACATAACTTGGTTCAATGACCTTAACCAATTCTCTTCTTTTCAGAAAATTCAATCTATGGTCACGTACCCGAGGCATGACTGCAGGTACGACTCTGTGATCTTAGCGATGCAAAGCGACACAGGTGTTGGTGCACATGCGGAGAGAACCTACAATTTCGGTCTGAAGATTCTCGATACCACACAAGTGCCCAATTTTAGCATTTGCCAGCTCTTCAGTCAGAAGACCAAGTTAAAAGTGAGTTAGACAAGTTACAGGGGGAACAAAGAACTAAAAGTATGGTTTGAATTTTTAGGTAACCGCAGTTATACCGGGAGTTCATTCCAACATGGACGTCGAGACTTACATCACCATGGGTCACGTGCCGATCCTTGGTTCGTCACAGAACCCAGGTAACAAAGAAAATGGATTTGCTACTGCTTATCGTAGCTTAAATCAGTTGAATTCGCATTATTAATTTCCTCGTTTTTTTAACAGGGCAGTATTTACCAAGCACATACCCACCTAATATTTACCCGCCAAATTCGCATCCGACCATTCGTGAGGGAATTTCCACTCCAGCGGGGTCCGTCGCGCAGCAAGGGGTTGGTGCTGGACCCAGCGCTCCTCCCTCGGAGGGCGGACTTTCCAAAATTGGGATGGGAGGGAATGAGCTTCCTATACAAGGATCAGGTAATGCTTTGATATATGCTTAATGTAGGAATACTGTGGTCGGATGAATTTACTGCTCTGCCGTTTGGCTTTTGTGATGTCCCTAATCGTGTTAATATGTTTTTTATGATTATTTTATTAAGGAAATATCTATTTTCAGATGATCCCTGGTCCCCAGAGTCGCGTAAGTATTTCTTTAATTCATGGTTTCGAATATAAATAGTCGTAATTGAAACTTCAATATAAAGGGTTAAAGAACTTATGCCAAATATTTTTGCCACATGTACATTGTGTCAAAATGAGGTAAATACACGAATTGTGTTGAGTGAAACCTTTTGATGACTGCTGATTTTCATAGATGTTCGATGTACCCACCATTTGCTTGCACACAAGCTTCAGCGCGACGTATCCAATTCGCTCGCACGGGTTGCAACATTGCCACGTCCTCTCGAATCGTGTTACAAGCTTTGGCAATACGATGTCACAGTGACTCTCGAAAAACAGCACAGCAGTCACTACAACAATGTATTACAAACTGACTTTCGAATGCATTCCGGCTTCATAAGCAACTTACAAATTCGTAAAAAGTATTACAGAATTTACTCGCTGCGATAAAATACTTGTATTTCAGCAGTTCCAAACAGTTTTAAACACATTTTTAATTAGCTCTTTTCTCTATGACCTTAAACTTCTGATACAACTTTGTGACATCAGTTAACTCAGTTTTTGCTTCTTTTTCACCCCTTTAAGTTTTTGTCATAAGTTCATTAACCCCGTATAGTCCAGTTGGTAGAGGTTCGGCCTGTGTTAAACCTCGATAATCCGAAAAAAACACAGGCTTATTTTAAACGATGAGTACAATAACAGGCTAATTTGCTGACAAAGTATTTTATCAGGAAAAAAGTTAACAATTTAATCGTGAAAAAAATTGTTTTTAGTAGTTTTCTTTAAATAGCTCGGCGGGATGACTTTGTACGAAAAAATGCTTAGAACATGATTTTGTTCATAATAAAAATAGCTACAAAATGGCGGTGGTCCGATTACGAAATTTGCAATAACAAAGCCGTTTTTCAATTTCACAGCTTTGTTATTGCAAATTTCGTAATCGGACCACCACCATTTTGTAGCTATTTTTATTACGAACAAAATCATGTCCTAAGCATTTTTTCGTACAGAGTCATCCCGTTGAGTTATTTAAAGAAAACTACTAAAACAAATTTTTTGCACGATTAAATAGTTAATAACTTTTTTCCTGATAAAATACTTTGTCAGAAAATTAGCATGTTAATGTACTCATAATTTAAAGTATTCCTGTGTAGTTATTTCCGAGTTATCAAGGAAATGTCACCAACAGTAACTTTCGGCCTCTGCCGACTGGACTAGTATTTTTCAGTAGTGGAATTATTGTTCAATGCTTTAAGTTGACATTATTGTTTCAGCACCACCTTCCTATAGCGAAGCTGTACCATATGCAGCAAAACAATGAGGACAGTGTTGACTGCCAATGCATTTTATTATTTTCAACTTTACGAAGTCATTGAGGTGGAAAGAGACAAGATGCAGTTAGGAATAACATTGGTGATTATTGGACCATATGACCGATGTTTTCCATTTTGATTGACCTATGATTACAAATATTGGATTTCTTTTCATGAGGTTTTAGTTAAACATAATATTAAAGAACACAGTTTACTTGTCAGAGCTTTTTAACCAGTTTTTGGTTGATAAAAATAAATAATTCTTCTAGTCCCTTAGTTATATAAATTAAATATAATTTTATATAAATTTTATTTAGGTGTAGATTTGTAAGCAAGATTTTGTATATAACAATAAATGTAAATATAAGTTTTTTATATCTCCTAATTGTTTTCATGAATTTTAAGAAACGTGGCAACATTGCAAGAGAAATATTCATTTGTCTACATAGAGAATTGTGGAAAAATAAAGTATTCTCCTCACGTCTGCTGTACCTAATTATAATACAGAGTGTCCCACGATGACGAGACATTAGACATATTTCAGAGACTACTCCGATTTTAATCTTGTATATTGATTGTATCAGCTAACATTTTTTAATTAGGCAACACAGAATACATTTTACATAACCAATTCAGTAGCATGCTGTCAATACGTGATTGGCTGAAACCCACCGCGAAAAATACCGTAGGTACTAAAATCTCGACTTCCAGTATTCGACATCTGTTAGCGATTATTTTCATTTACTACGTAACATAGACAGTTCCTGGCATCAAGGTTGATTTCTAGACAATGATTTAGAGAGATAAGATAAAGTTTTTAAAACGCACTGCCTACTTTATAGAATTGTTATTTATATCGTGGGTTTTGATCCGTGCGCGAAATAATAAAATAAAATCGTCCGACGCTTCGACAAGCTCATTTGCCAAGTTCCATTCAGTTTTACGCGCATTTGTGGCATATCGATACATATGCGTATATTAGGAATACAATTAATTACCTAAAGGTCCGAAACTCAATTTGTTTTAAAAGTAAAAGTGTTGAGTGGTGTTTAATGCAAATACATCGTATGAAGGACGGACTACTTGTGCATTTGTTTTTATTAAAGTTGTTGTTCATAAAAAAAAGAGTAATGCCATTGAGTGTATACATTAAAGCAGTGTTGCCAGTGGTTTAATTTTTCTTTTAATGTCATACTTTGAGTTTTAATAATTTTTTAAATAGATCTCGTTTAATGTTAGTGACATAAGCGATTTTTCGTTCAAGGTCATTATTAACGTAGGTTAGGATATACAGATTAATGTGTGTGGTTGTTTAAATATTTTAAAGACTTTCCAGCGTTTAGAAAATGTCTTGTGACATCCAACTGGACAACTACCAGGGGCAGTATTACCCGGGAGACTCTATCATGGGAAAAGTGATTTGTTCATTCGATGAATCGATAAATATCAGAGGTAAACATTCATTTAAATTATAAACAAAGTGAATTTTGGTATCTAACAAACACCGGATTGCATGAAAAGTATTGCAAAAAAAGTTGTCTGTACTTTTCATGTGACATATCCGTAGTATTTTTACCTATTGATCACGAGTCTGGTATCATAATTGAGCTATCACATCACAGGAATATTCTAACCTTAAAAAACAGGTCAAAAATAGCAAAAATTAACTAAAAAGTGATAGGAAAAATAGAAACATTTTTTTTTTCTATATTCAAACCTTCATTTATATGGTAAGACTCCGCCGAACGTAAATCCGTGGTCAGAATTGATGGTTCATTTTCTAACCTCAAAAAAAAAGGTCAGATATCACGAATTTTCAAAAAAATAACATTCGCGCCAAATTTGGTATACGGGGGTTTTCGGGGTCGCTGATCACGGATCCGAGGTCAATTTTGCAAAATTCAAGATGGCGGATCCAAGATGGCCGACCAAATTTTGAAAAATAACATTCGCGTCAAATTGGGTAAATGGGGGTTTTCAGGGTCACTGATCACAGATCCGAGATCAGATTTACAAAATTCGTTTTTAAAAATTTAATCAATTACCTATGTACTTTATTACCTGAGATTAGGCAGAAAACCCGTGAATAGATCTTTTTCAGACAGAAGAACAAGATGTAGCCGAAAAAGGAAGGTTAAATTGATATTTAAATAAATTTTACATATTTACTTACTGTCTTCGTTTTATATTTTTTTATATTTTATTTATATTTGTGACACAACATGTACTTTTTGTATATAAAATTGTCAATAAACAATTACAATTACAATTAAAACATGATTGGGTACTCAGGTTATAGAGTAAATAAAAATATTAGAAAATTAATTTCGCAATTCTGACCTCGAAAACCCCCGTATACCAAATTTGGCGCGAATCTTATTTTTTGAAAATTTGGTAGGCCATCTTGGATCCGTCATTTTGAATTTTACAGAATTGACTTCGGATCCCTGATCAGCGACCCCGAAAACCCCCGTATACCAAATTTGAAGCGAATGTGTAATTTTTTTAAAAATTGGTCGGCCATCTTGGATCCGCCATCTTGAATTTTGCAGAATTGACCTCGGATCCGTGATTAGCGACTCCCCATATATTAAATTTGGCGCGAATCCGTGATCAGCGACCCCGAAAACCCCCGTTTACTAAATTTGGCGCGAATGTGCTTTTTTGAAAATTTGGTCGGCCATATTGGATCCGCCATCTTGAATTTTGCAGAATTGACCTCGGATCTGTTATCAGCGACCCCGAAAATCCCCTTATACCAAATTTGGCGCGGATGTTATTTTTTTTGAAAATTCGTGATATCTGACCTTAATTGACCCGTTTTTTTGAGGTTAGAAAAAGAACCATCAATTCTGACCGCGGATTCACGTTCGGAGTCTTAACTATATAAAATGAATTTGAATATAGAAAAAAATAATATTTTTCCTAGCATATTTCGCGAATTTTTGCTATTTTTGACCTGTTTTTTTGAGGTTTGGAAATTCCTGTGATGTGATAACTCAATTCTGACACCGGATTTGTGATCGGGAGGCAAAAACACTACGAATAACATATGTCGCATGAAAAGTACAGACAACTTTTTTCTGTGTGGCTGTGTATCTATTTAATGTCCTACTAGTCTATTATTTTGTAATCATCACTTTATTCTAAGAATAGACCAATATGCTGGCGACCTTGACCATACTTTTCAAGGCCAACGCGAAAATATTAAATGGAATACCCTTTTTTATACCAACAATCGAGAGGGCGCCAAATTTTATGTCCGAATGTTCAGATTAGGTCAGAAAAATTTTCCTGTTTGTCCTCGCGGGTCACTTGAAGGTCAAACTAAATTTTTTTGACTAACACGTCAAAGATGTTTCACACAAAACTTGTAGGCGGCATTGAACTTGATCTCCTTCGTCACAAGTCGCAAGGTCAAACTGAGGTCATGAAATGCGCTATTTTTTATGTCAGAATCTGGATCAAACAATTTTTTAAGAATCTTACAGGTTACTTGAAGGTTAAACTCATTTTTCTAAAAAACACAAACACATAAACTATTAGTATGATCTTGACAGCTACCTAATCAGCTACCATTTGGATATTTGTCCATCACATATATGTTTAGATGAATATTGACTGTATTCGGTTAAGCTCTATCACGTCAGGTTCAAGGTCATTTGAAGTTCAAGCTAAGAAAAGGTGGTTGAAAAATCCTTAAAAACATACATAAGTTTTTCGGGTCGCTAAGTCTGAATCCGATGTCGGTTGACCTCTATCACCTCATGTTCAAGCGTTTGAAAGTTAAAAAAAAAAAATTGGAAAAAGTTATTACGAATGCTCACCTGCCTACTTTTGTCTGTTTACCTGATTGCATTTTTACCTGCACACCTGTTGGTTTGCTTGTTAGTCTGTACTTATCGTCCCTCTGTCCATCTACCTTCGTGTCTTTTTGGGGCACTCTGTATATTAAACGAGAAATAAATTAATAGCTTTTTTGCGAAAATGTTACGAATCAAAAAGCTTTGACTGTGGTATTTATGCGTAACATAATAATTTGTCTATTCTGAAGGAAAGATCAACTACGGGGTGACTCTTACATCTTTATATTTTTACATGAAATAGGAAGAAAGAAATTTGACTTGCTTACATCGCCAATTATATCCGCAGTTAATATATTTGTACATATTTATAAGTCTCCGTGTATAAAAAAAAAATCGAATTAAATAACAGACTAGCAGGACATTAAACGATGAAGACACCAAGGGTGTCATAGGATAATGATGGACCTTTGCGCGTTATTATCCTTATAGCACCCCAGAGACCTTAATTACTAGTACACATTTCTTTGAACTATATCTAAATTTAGGTATAATACTGAAGCTGAAGGGGGACGAACGTAACGCTTGGACACGACGTAGAAAAAAGAAAACCGTCCATTGCAAGGGACATAATAGATTTTTGTACGTTGAAAATTCCCTACACGGAGAAGGTAAGAAAGATACAGGGTGATTCAGAACTTATCCAAAAAAATTTTGTTGAATGTACAGGGGACTTACAATTATAATTTTATAAAAAAAAATCAAAAAGGGCAGTGCGAAAATGAATTAAAAATACACACGGCGGAAAAGAGTAATAAAAAATGAACGGACAAAAAATTTAATGAACTTCTTTCCCAAGGAAAGAAATAAATAAAATTTTATAACACCTATTTTATATCGGCAAATTCAACTGCTTTTGCCACTATTTATTATTAATTAATATGATAAAATTATTAATAAAATAACTTGACATACTTGATGTTTAAACTGTTTCCAAGACGTGTAAACACATTTGGGTCCGTCTCTACGAACTAATACAAATATTGTCATGCTTCACCCAACGCAAATACCATAACATTTTAAAAACTAATGTAAACACTATCGCAAAAACGTTAATACTAAAATCGGATTTCAGCATTCGGAATCGCCTGGTGCCACGTGGAGAGAAGGCGAATGACGTTAGAGACTATACAGTAGCCCAGCGATATAAGGGTTAAAATTACTACAATTTCAATAATTGTTTCTCGGAAACTATAAGGATTTTACAATTTTTTTTACGATAGTGAGTTAATTTTTCATGATGCATCTATTCCCAATTTTTTTTGGATAAGTTGTGAATCACCCTGTATATGCTGCTTATTATAAATAACACAGCACCTACAAAAGAATTATTTATTATTTTTAACAAACAAAATTTTACGCCTAGAAAAAAAATCACTACTGGTTAGCGAAAATTCATTGGCCTCAGTAAAAAGTTGCATACAAAAGGGGCACATAAATATTATAACAGCTAAAATAAAATTCCTGATCAAAAAAAATATATGAAACTGCTCAAAGATTACTAACAAAATGTCTATTATGAATATAATTAATATTTGAATTTATTTTGATAAAAGAATTCCGAAAAGAATTGTTTGTATATTTAAACATTTATATGATAAGATAAAGTGTTTGTATAAGTCGTTGACATTTCGAATGACATATCGTCCTCTTCTTCAGAATATACACTGAAACTGAAGATTAATTACACAGGTCAACATTTGATCTACGCAGAACGTCGGAACCGGTTAGGTGCTACTAAGGTTCTTGGGGTCGTTGATTACGATGAAAGGTTCAAGGTCATTTGAAGGTCAAGTGGTGAAAAAACCATCGGAAAAATCTGAAAAAATTGGTGCATATGTTTTTGAGGTCGCTGAATCCGAATCCTGCGTTGCATTACACTTGGGATCTATCCTAGAGGTAATTCAAGGTAATTTCGAGATCATTTTGAAGTGTTTTTGCGATAAATATGTTAAGTACGAATCGAAAAACCTGAAAAAAATTACACTCATGTTTCCGAGGTCAGCGAATCGGAATCTGAGGTCAGTTAACCTCCATAAGGTCAGGTCCAAGGTCATTTGAAGGTCATGTGGAGAAAAAACCATCGGAAAAATCTGAAAAAATGCATGCATATGTTTTTGAGGTCGCTGAATCCGAATCCGAGGTTCGTTGTTTCCCTTGAGGTCTTCTAGAGGTCATTAAAGTATATATTTTGAAATTATTTGGCATGGAAATTTTAAGTGCAATCCGAAATATCAAAATCTCAATTAAAGAACCAAGAGATTGACAGTAGGTACCAGGTTCGGTCGCTGACGCAACAACTCTGCATTGAAATATTTGAAAAACTTGTTCCCATATTTATTTAGCCATACCCATATACAGGTCTGGTCGTCCAGTTGAAGAATGAGCACCTGGGCAAACGCGGCACAAACACCGCCGCACTGGGCGAGCCGGTCATAAATTCAGTTGTCGACAAATGGTCTTATTCAGTACTTCTCTTAGTATGTTCAAGGTAGGCCGATTTTATACAGAAGGCTATGCGGACGACTTAGTCGTTCTCATAGTCGGGAAACATAATATTATCGTTTCAGAATTCATGAAAGAGGCTTTGAAATGGATAGATGACTGGTGTAAGGGGCAGGCACTGTCAGTAAACCCTGACAAAACGGTCGTAGTACCCTTCACCAGGAGAAGGAATTTAATTGGACTCTTATAATAGGGGAAAGGAGCATTAGGCTTTCCAGGGAAGTAAAATATCTAGGAGTGATACTGGATAATAAGCTTACCTGGAATGCGCACTTGCAAAAAGTCGTGAGTAAGGAGTAAGCATTGTGTGTATGCCGACGCCTTATTGGGAGCACCTGGTGACTGAAACCAAAGATGTCATACTGGTTGTATACGTCGATAGTAAGACCTAGGATTCTCTACGGAGCTGTGGTATGGTGGAAAAAAACACAACAGACCACAGTGAGGGAAAAACTGAATAGAATTCAGAGATTGGCCTGTTTAGGTATAACGGGGGCGATGGCATCGACCCCGACAGCTGCACTAGAAGTCATGCTAAATCTACCACCGCTGCATAAAGTGGTGGAAAGAGAAGCGCGGCTAGCAGCATATCTACTCAGCATATCTACGACTGGAGGGGTAGTTCCCATTCCAGGATCATAGACACATCTATGTCGGAATCAACTTTTGGGATGGTATCTGACAAGATGGTTGCAAGGTTTCACTTCCACAAGCCATTTGAGACTCGAATAGACGATCAAAGCAAATGGGAGGAAAGGTTTAATACCCTGGAAAGGTGGAGCCTAGTATGGTTTACAGATGGCTGCAAAATGACCAGAAGGACGGGTGCAGGAATATATGGACTCAGACCCAGATGGAGTGCAAGCTAGTCTGGGGGAGTTCCCTACCGTATTCCAAGCAGAAATTTTCGCGATAATGGCGTGTCTGGCAGAGAATGTAAGTAGAGGTTATAAACGTAAACTCATATATATATTCTCTGATAGTCAAGCTGCAAATTAAAGCTTTAGACGAACACAAGATAAGTTCAAAACTGGTGTAGGATTGTTTACAAATGCTGACTGAACTGGCCACCAACAATACAGTCAGACTGTGTTGGGCGCCATGGCACAAAGGCATTTGTGGAAATGACAAAGCGGATGAACTTGCTAGACAGAGTTCATTGGCCCGGAGCCCTTCCGTGGCACATCTACCAGTGTGGTCAGGCAGGCTCTTGGCAAATGGACTGAGACAGAACACAGGCAATAATGGACTTCAAGGCCAGGACATAGCCATTCTAAGGAGCTCATGGAATATCCTTCGAAGGAAAGAGCCAATGATCTACTGAGCTTGAACAGAATCCAGCCCAGGAGAGTGACGGGAGTCATAACGGGACACTGTCACTTTAGGAAACATCTACATAAGCTAAAGCTTGTAGACAGTCCAGTCTGCCGAGGATGTGAATCGGCGGATGAAACTTCTCTGCATATCCTGGGCGAGTGCCCGNATCCGAAATATCAAAATCTCAATTAAAGAACCAAGAGATTGACAGTAGGTACCAGGTTCGGTCGCTGACGCAACAACTCTGCATTGAAATATTTGAAAAACTTGTTCCCATATTTATTTAGCCATACCCATATACAGGTCTGGTCGTCCAGTTGAAGAACGAGCATCTGGGCAAACGCGGCACAAACACCGCCGCACTGGGCGAGCCGGTCATAAATTCAGTTGTCGACAAATGGCCTTATTCAGTACTTCTCTTAGTATGTCCAAGGTTCCGTATAAATGGGTTTTCCTTGAAATAATTATAGAGAGATAATATTTTTGTGAAGGGCTATAGAGAACAGACTTGGAAAATACTCATCTGACAAAATCGAGGATCGGAAGGTCACAGCCAGTGATTTCAAACCATGCCAGGGCTAAATGGAGGCCTCATCTTCGGATTGAGAGGTTCTTATGGGGATGAGAGCGATGTTTCTCAAAACGTACGTTTTTTTACGAATGGAACTTTTGCCAGTCCCTTGAGCGATAGGTACTCTATACCTACAGGTGTTGCATACACTATTATCTCTATTACGAAAAATTGTATGTTATAAATTATAAGAGAGTCTCTTTTGTCCATTAGTGCGTGAATTTCCACACTTTCCATTTAAGTAATTAGGAAGAGTGTTAATTTTATTACTTAACTTCGTGTTTCATTTGGCTTTAGGTGATATAGGACCTGGTAGATACGAGTACCCTTTCACCTTCCAACTACCCCACAACCTTCCCAGCACATACCAAGGACATTATGGAGGAGTAACCTTTATCCTGAAAGTTAAAGTTGACAGGCCTTACAGATTTGATTACACTGATTCGATAGAGGTCATTGTAGCCTCCCCTATAAACTTGAATCAGATGAGGGAAGCACTTTGGTTGGTAAGTAAACTAAATTAACAGTTAACACATCAACACGTTACTACGAAAACATGTTATTGTACTTGGGAAAACATGCTACCTCAAATTAAGCTTGTAAATTAAGCTTGTAAAACATGCTAGCTCAGATCTTTAAGTAAATACATGCTATCTTACACAAAAGTAAGTTTGACTAAAAATTTAAGTTGGCTGCATTGGCGTTGAAATGCACATGGAATGATTGAAACCGTGCGCTTATAATAAACTTATATAATATACTTTTCAAAAAGTAAGGAATACTTATGTTCAGTTACACTGTTTATTTTATTTTTTTCATTCAACATTTTTCTATTAATTTTGTTAAGTTACACTGTTATAAACGACAAAATTGTTAATTAAAAAAATAGAATAATATGCAGTATGCTGCAACACGTACATTAGTCGAGGTTTTTTGAAAGAGCAAATTATAAAAAATAGTGGATACCTTAATATATAAAAATGCAATGTTTATTATTACTAAAAATTATTCGATTTTTTTCATATAAGTTTACTTTGATAAAAAAATTATAGGCCGATCGAAATAACTAATTTAGAGGGAAAAAAAGAAAATTGTTACCTGGATTTTTATAAGTGGGCGGCGGAGGGTTGATTTGGAGGGTTGAAAAGTTCTTGTTGAAAATTGTATCATTGGGATTTCTGACGAAAGTCGACGTCAAACAAAAAAGTATCCAATACAAAAGTTATACCTAGATCATGCAAAAATCTACAACTTTATAAGATAACCTCAACATTTCCGGAAAAAATGCGAGTTTTTTCTGATTTTTCGATTTTTATTTCTCATTTCCGCAAAAATAATTTAATTTTGACGAAACTTGGTGAAAGTATACCTTTCTGTATCTTAAATAACCACATTTTTTTTAGATAAAAAAATCAAGAAGTTTCCGAGATATTCATTTTTTCCGGTCGGAAACTCAAAGAAAAATTCTACTTCGAAAATCATCGTACAGAGTTCTGCCGGTGATCATTTTTTTCGTTTTGACACATACTTTTTGGTGAAATAAAAAAATCTGTAATCACAGTTCAAAAACATCTCAAAAATGCAAAAAAATATAAATAAAAATGACACAACAATAAATTTTTCAGTAATTGTTGATAATTTATCTAATTTAAAAAAATATCAAAAACTGATTACACCATTCAATTGTACGGAAAAAATAAAAAAAAAACTGTCATTGTTTGGCCCAAAACAATATTTTTGTACAGCAATACTGCTGTAAACATAAGTCGAATAGTGAATAAATAAAATAGATAATATTTTTTTCCGTAGGATCTATTAGTGTACTTATTTTTTTTTAATTTTGATGAATTCATAGATATACAGTGTGTCCAAGATAAGAATGGGATAACATTAGGATCCAGGAAACGGTAAGAGATACGGTGTGGCTCAGATTAGAAAAAAAGTTGTGTTTTTTATACCTAACAATATGCCGTCTAGAAAGTTTTAAAATTCCGGGTAGTTCCGGAGATATCCGGAAAAACGAAATTTTGCAAAATTGTTTGATTTTTTCTGGCTTTATTTGAAAACGATTTTTAAAATAAATTGCATACTTACAATGTCACGTTTTTCGCTCTATACAATGGCATCAACATTTTTGCAATCCGACGTTTCGNGGGATTTCTGACGAAAGTCGACGTCAAACAAAAAAGTATCCAATACAAAAGTTATACCTAGATCATGCAAAAATCTACAACTTTATAAGATAACCTCAACATTTCCGGGAAAAATGCGAGACAAGTTTTTTCTGATTTTTCGATTTTTATTTCTCATTTCCGCAAAAATAATTTAATTTTGACGAAACTTGGTGAAAGTATACCTTTCTGTATCTTAAATAACCACATTTTTTTTTAGATAAAAAAATCAAGAAGTTTCCGAGATATTCATTTTTTCCGGTCGGAAACACAAAGAAAAATTCTACTTAGAAAATCATCGTACAGAGTTCTGCGGTGATAATTTTTTTCGGTTTGACATATACTTTTTGGTGAAATAAAAAAATCTGTAATCACAGTTCAAAAACATGCTCAAAAATGCAAAAAAAATATATAAAAAATGACTTACAACAATAAATTTTTCAGTAATTGTTGATAATTTATCTAATTTAAAAAAAAAATCAAAAACTGATTACACCATTCAATTGTACGGAAAAAATAAAAAAAAAACTGTCATAATTTGGCCCAAAACATTAATTTTGTACTGCAGTATTGCTGTAAACATAAGTCGAATAGTGAATAAATAAAATAGATAATATTTTTTTTCCGTAGGATCTATTAGTGTACTTATTTTTTTAAAATTTTGATGAATTCATAAATATACAGTGTGTCCAAGATAAGAATGGGATAGCATTAGGATCCAGGAAACGGTGATACGGGGTGGCTCAGATTAGAAAAAAAGTTGTGTTTTTTATACCTAACAATATGCCGTCTAGAAAGTTTTAAAATTCCGGGTAGTTCCGGAGATATCCGGAAAAACGAAATTTTGCAAAATTGTTTAATTTTTTTCTGGCTTTATTTGAAAACGATTTTTAAAATAAATTGCATACTTACAATGTCACGTTTTTCGCTCTATACAATGGCATCAACATTTTTGCAATCCGACGTTTCGTCTTCGAGGGGCCATCATCCGATTAATTTTTTCAAATACGTCGCTGCTATTTTTATAACAAAATCTAGTCATTTTTAATTCTGAATTAGAGGATATTACTATTGTAATCGCTTAAAAAGTTTTTAGCTTATTTTAGCTATCATTTAAAATTTTTCCTGAGTACGGCTTTGAACGCTTTCAAAATATCTATTGGAACAGAATAAAAGTCAATACCGCACAAAATATCCAATAAAATATTTCATAAATTCGTATTATTTTTTTATTAGGCACAACTTTTTAAATTATTGATTAGAAAAAATTGTTGGACATTTTGTGCTGTATTGACTTTTATACTGTTATGACTTCCTTCAATAAATATTTTGAAAGCGTTCAAACCGTACTCAGGAAAAATTGTAAATGATAGCTAAAAACCTTTTTAAGCGATTACAATAGTAATATCATTACTATTGTAATCGTAATTAAAAATGACTAGATTTTGTCATAAAAAGCAGCGACATATTTAAAAAAATTAATCTGATGATGACCCCTCGAAGACGAAACGTCGGATTGCAAAAATGTTGACGCCATTGGATAGAGTGAAAAAAGTGGCAATGTAAATATGCAATTTATTTTAAAATTCGTTGTCAAATAAAGCCAGAAAAAAATAAAACGATTTTGCAAAATTTCGGGTTTTCGGTTTTCGCGTCGACAGTAGACTTTGCAGTTAATACTTTGTATTGCTGAAATCTCAAATAATCCAAAGATAATTTATCATTTGTACATTTGTAATTCGACTTAGATGTTTATAGCAATACTGCACAAAAATAAAGTTTTGGGTCAAAGAATGACACAGTTTTTTTTTAATTCTTTTCCGTAGAATTGAAAGGTGTAATCAGTTTTTGAATGTTTTTCAATTTAAACAAATTATCAACAATTGCTGAAAAATTCATTGTTGCAAGTAATTTTTTTTTTTTTTGAATATTTGAGCACGTTTTTGAACTGTGATTACAGACTTTTTTATTTCACCAAAAAGAATATGTCAAAACGAAAAAAATGATTACCGGGAGAACTCTGTACGATGATTTTTCTAAGTAGAATTTTTCTTTGAAAAAAAAGTGTTTTAGACCGGAAAAAATGAATCTCAGAAATTTCATGATTTTTATTATCTAAAAAATGTGTGGTTATTTAAGGACACAGAAAGGTATACTTTCACCATGTTGCGTTAAAATTAAATTATTTTTGCGGACATGAGAAATAAAAAACGAAAAATCAGAAAGAAAACAGTTATTCGCATTTTTCTCGGAAATTTTGAGGTTATCTTAAAAAGTGACTTCTACAAAAGTTGTAGATTTTTGCATGATCTACAACTTTTGTATTAGATACTTTTTTGTTTGACGTCAACTTTCGCCAGAAATCCCAAAGATACAATTTTTCACAACTTTACAACCCCCCAAATCAACCCTCCACCACCCCTGCTCACGCATTTATTTTTTTTAGGTTTACTATAAGCCCTTTTACCATTTTCACTTATAAAAGTTCAGGTAACAATTTTTTTTTCTCGAAGTGTAATTAGGTTAGACTATTAATAGCGCACTCTTATCTGATTTATAGCCATATTGTTTCTTGTATTCTAAAAATAATTTTATATGCCTTATTCGGACTCCAAGGAGACTGCAATAAAAAGGATTATAGTGGACCAGGCTAGGCTCCAAATCCCGGGTCCGAATCGTTCTTACCTGGACAATATGCCCATGTAGAGAAGCTATAACTGTATGTATATTGTACTATTGTACTATTTGTAAATGCATAATTAAAAATATTAAAAATTTTTCAGTTTTTTTGTGAAATACGGTTTTTACAATCGTTACTTTTCAAATAAGAACAAGATGCAACAATTTGTAGAAAAACATAATTTATTCATAAAATTTCATTAAAGAGTTAACATAATAACCAGAATATAAATAGGTATAATGTATAAACTTAAATGATATGTACGGTAAACATGTGTGCATGGGGAACCGCGGAAATGTGCACGTGCATATCATATGCTCTGCGCCCGTCGCATCGATATCCAGCAGATCATAAAGTACCGGTAATAAAAGAGTCGCATTCCATTTCCAAAGTCTATGCAAGCACGCGGCTACCGTACCTTTGAGAAGCCATTTATTTTTATTGAGGTGCAGTAAGAAGGATTCAGACCCGGAGTTTGGGGCCTAGTCTGGTCCACTATATAATCCTTTTTATAGCAGTCTCGTTAGAGTCCGCATTAGGCATGTAAAATTATATTCTGAATAAATTGTGCATCCCAGATTTTGTGAAAAAAAAAGTGTATCAAGGGTAGTGACTATAAATCAGATAAGAGTGTGCTATTAATTTTTATATCAAAGCAAACTTGTATTAAAAAAATCGAATAATTTTATTATTCTATTTGTTTTAATTAACAATTTTGTCGTTTATAACAGTAACTTAATAAACAGTGTACCTGTATAAAAATATTCCTTACTCTTTGAAAAATATATAAGCTTATCATAAATGCACGGTTTCAATCATTCACTGTGCATTTCAACGTCAATGCAGGCAACTTAAATTTCTAGTCAAACTTACTTTTGTGTGAGATAGCATGTTTTCATAGTAACGCGTGGACATAATAAGTTTATTTTCTCAAATTTAAAAACAGGAACGTTATTATCGATCAAGAGTGAAGTAGATTGAAAGCCAATCTTTTTAATTTCTTATCTCAAAGGCAAATTCCTCTTGGCTTAGTTGTTTGTGCATTAACACACTATTAAAAAGTGAAATAAGATCTTGGACAACCTAATTTGTTTATTATTCACTAGGAACCAAGCTCTTACTCTGTTGATAAGGACGTATGTTGTTGGTGTTGCACAAGTGGTCCCATAACCATGGAAGTACATCTACAGAAAGAAGCTTTTGTGGTGGGGGAAGTGGCAAAAATGAGGGTGGATATAACCAATATGTCCAACAAAAGTATTGAGAGCGTCAGAGTTAAGTTGAAAATGGTAAGTTAATTTCTGTATTTTTCTCTAGTTAGATTCAATCTGTCATTAAAAGTGTTTGCTACGCATGAAAAAAACTCAACAATTACCATAGAAGACATACAATGATACATAAAAGTCTACTTACCCCTTTCAGGTGACTTTGTTCAAGTCCTGTCCAACTTCTGTTCTTTTTTCAGGAAGTTAAGTCCATGGTAACTCATCCAAGAGACGAAAGTAAGAGCAACTCCGAGTTGCTAGCAACTAACAGTGATACAGGTGTAGGGGCACACGGACAGCGGTCTTACGATCTTAATTTAGAAATTCCTCAGTCTGCCCAGGTGCCCAATTTCGAACAATGCGTACTCTTCAGTCAGAAAACCAAACTAGAGGCGAGTTAATGCTTTCACACCCACAAAAATAATCTGTAACCGTTTTTTTAACCTTAAACGCATAAAGTGCCAGTTAAAGTGTCTTGAATTTTTAGGTAACTGCGGTACTACCAGGATGTCACACCAATCTGAAGGCGGTTGCGTATGTTACCATAGGTCACATACCCATTGACGGGTTTAATCAAAATCTAGGTGATTTTTTTATACTCATTGATTTACCCTTTTGAATAATATTTCTTGTTAGGGTTTACACCATAGATTTAAGAGGATAAAGTTAGGTTATATAGTACTGCCACCATCCAGTACATTATATACGTAGTTGTTTATAACTTAGTGTACAAGTCTGTTTTAAATAATAACTAGAAAGGTAGGCAAGTCCGCTATGCGGACTTGACCTTCTCTCGGGCCTTTGGCTCTCGAGCCCCGAGCACCGCTCCGCGGTGTTTTCTATGTGGGTTTGTAAATAATATAACATTTTCCAAAAAAAAAAAGAAAAAATGGCCCCTCCCGCGATTCGAACCCCGGACCTGCGGCTTCGCAGTCGTGAGTTTACAAAATGACCTACGGCGATCTAACGCTGCGTGGAGCCTGCACGGGTTATTTCAAACCTTGGTTCTCCGCGAATGTAAACAGAAAATTGAAAATGTTCAAATCAAGTTTTATTGCCAATGTTGCGTCTGTAAAAGATCGCAACCGATGCCTAACGGCAATATAACGAGTCACCGTGCAATCGTCCGGCAAAACGCGTCAAATGACAAAATTTATTTAGACGTCTTCACTGACGTTTGTCTCCATCTCTCTTTAAATATCGGATATACTTCAGGTATCTCTCTTCCACCGAAAAAAGCCAATTTTCGGCGAGGACTATTTTTAAAGTGGAAATTTCACATAGAAGGCGTGAACAGATCGCCTTCAAAATACGACGTTGGGACAAAGAAAGGACAGAGAGGCCCTTCGGACCCCTCAGCTAGCCGCTGCGCGGCTCGCGAGGAGAGCCTTTGATAATACCGTACGCCCATTTTCGCGGCCTAGTGTGAGAGCGAGAGTAACCTACAGCTTTTAATATATATGTATTTTCTCACCTAAGTCACCAAGTCCCGGAAAACAGCATAGCACCCTTTCTCTTTATCTCCATCTATTCCAACATCTTTTATTCAGACCAATTAAATTTAATATATTTTGTTTACTAGGGCATGAACCAAAAAAACACCCACCTGATACCGCAGCAGACATACCCCCATATGCGCCTGGACCAATAGGCTTCATCAACCCGCAAGAGGCGACTGCCGCGCCCAGCGCTCCTCCCTCAGAGGGCGGGCCCTCGGCTCCTCCCAAGAAAGAGGCGGCAGGTAACGTTCAGTTAATCTTACTTTGTAGTTGTGTGGTCTGCACGTTGTCCCCTTCCTCCCACACCCTTGGATAGACTTAAACCTTGCCTTTATTGGGCGGAAGTTCACCAATTACGGGTATGCATGAAATATTGAAAAAAAAACTATTTATACAAATACAGGTTATTTTAAATTGGAATTCAGATATTTAGCTCATGAGAAATTGTAATGTCGCCGACTAAGGGGTGTAGCTTAAGGAGGTTCGATACCAAAAGAAAAATGGTAAGAAGCTTCAGCGCTATGTATCCAATTCGCTCGCATGCGTTGCAACATTGACACGTCCGCTAGAATCGTATTAAAAGCTTCGGCAATACGATGTCGCAGTTGGTCGATGTCAGGAACTTCCGTGAAATACACAACGCCTTTCACGTATCCCCACAAGAAGAAGTTTAAAGGGGTGAGGGGGGCGGTGCATCTAACTAGGCTGCCGCGGCCTATCCAGCGATCGGGAAAAGTAATGTTTAGAAAGACGCGCACTCTGCGAAGAAAGTGGGCGGGGGCATTTAATCGCACGTCTTCTAATAACTCCGGCAAGCGATTTTGCAAAAAATCTAGATATGAAGCACCGTCTAAGCGTCTAGGCAATTCAAAAGGTCCTATTAAAGTGTCATTAACGATACCGGCCCACGTGTTCATTGAAAACTGTTGCTGAAAGGCACCGTGACGTATTTCGTGTGGATTTTCGATAGTCCAGTGGTGAGTGTTGTGGACGTTATGTACACCATTTCGACTGAAACATGCTTCATCTGTAACAAGCATTTGCGCTGTAAATTGATGATTTCTTGCATGTTCCTGAAGCAGCCATTCGCAAAAACCTCGACGTAGTGGAAAATCGTCAGGAGTAAGCGCTTAAATATGAAATGGGTACAAGTGAGCTTCTCGTAATGTCTGCCAGACAACAGGATGGGAAATATTTACTTGCTGTGTGATATTTCTGGTGCTACGATGCGGATCTTTTTCGACGAGATCTAAAATCGACATTTAAGATTCTTAGTGGTCGCCCTGGGCCACTGTCGCGACCTCGACGTGGTTGTACTTCACCGGTGTCCAAAAATCTTTGCGCTACAGCAACAAATGTCCGCGGTGCGGGGGCACGTCGTTCAGGATATCTTGCACGGTACACTTGACAAGCTCTGTGGGCATTTTCGTTTGTTTCGCCATAAATTATGAGCATATCATAATATTAGCGATTGCTAAATAAATGTGCCATTTTCAAAAGAAAACTTGGAAATACGGCAATTAAATGTACTCTCGAAAGACAGCACAGCAATCACTACAACAATGTATTACAAACTGACTTTCAAATACAATCTCGCTCCATAAGAAACCTACAAACTCGTCGCCGCGATAAAATACGTGTATTTCAGCAGTTCCAAACCAGTTTTAAACACATTTTTAATTAGATTTTTTCTCTATGACCTTAAACTTGCGATACAAGTTTGTGAAATAAGTTAACTCAGTTTTTGCTCCTTTTTGACCCCTTTAAATTTTTGACGTAAGTTCATTAACACCCTGTATGTGTATGTAGGCACTGATTCGCTTCCAACGTATAGATCCGTGCGACGGGTAAGGGGTGCGGGGAATATAACTTCATAGGCGTCTCATTTCAGGGGGTTCAAAAAACTATTAAAAATAGATTGTCGATTTTAGTAAAATCTGGATTATTCTACAAATTTTCGCTCACTTTGGTATATTAATTTATTATTTCAAGTCAACGTTACTGTAATTCCATGCAGAGTATACAGGGTGTCTCATAATTAGCTGCCAACCCTGAACAGGCCGATTCTATGATCAAAACTAAGTAAAAAAGTTCATATGAACATGGGTCCGGAAATGTTTCCTAAGGGCACAAGGACCCATTGAAGAGGGAGGAATGGAAATAATTTTTTTGCAATATCTCTCAATCGCGTTGTGATAAATGAATGAAATTTGGTATACACAGCTAAATTTTGATGAGCAATTTGATGGACTAATCCATTTATTTCCACAAGGTCCATTGGGGTGGGTACGGGGGGGCCCTTGGTACTTTGCGTGTGTAACTTTTTCATCTTTGACTTTTTAACAAATTGGACAGCAAATTCCGTTTTCCCGAACTGTTTTACGTTAAAAAGGTACTCTTGTTTCAAATCGTTATCTTTAACGGTTTCTGAGAAAATCGCTCTTGAATTAATCCCACTTTGGTCAATTTCATAGTAATTTAAACAAAAAAAAATAATAATAATTTTCCTTTCCTCTCTTTTCCATTTAAAGGATTAATTTTTATTTAATTTAATTTTTTATTATTATTTTTTTATTAAAATTAGATTAAATTTAAACAAAAAAATTTTTTTTGTTTAAATTACTATGAAATTGACCAAAGTGGGATTAATTCAAGAGCGATTTTCTCAGAAACCGTTAAAGATAACGATTTGAAACAAGAGTACCTTTTTAACGTAAAACAGTTCGGGAAAACGGAATTTGCTGTCCAATTTGTTAAAAAGTCAAAGATGAAAAAGTTACACACGCAAAGTACCAAGGGCCCCCCCGTACCCACCCCAATGGACCTTGTGGAAATAAATGGATTAGTCCATCAAATTGCTCATCAAAATTTAGCTGTGTATACCAAATTTCATTCATTTATCACAACGCGATTGAGAGATATTGCAAAAAAATGATTTCCATTCCTCCCTCTTCAATGGGTCCCTGTGCCCTTAGGAAGCATTTCCGGACCCATGTTCATATGAACTTTTTTACTTAGTTTTGATCATAGAATCGGCCTGTTCAGGGTTGGCAGCTAATTATGAGACACCCTGTATACACAATAACTTTATCGGATCAAGAAATACTAAAAATTGTATTTTGATTTACTTATGACTCTACTGCCTATTTTGGCACTGGGGTATTTTTATTATTGAATAGTAATCTACCCTAAAGCTAACCTGATACTAGGCCACATACTACATTGTAGATTTGTTACAATAAATAGAGGAATAACAGTATTTAAGATGGTCAGGTATACAAAATGCAATTTTTGGATCTACGCCTTTTTTTATGGAATTTTATTTTTAACATAGAAATCTGTATTTTTCAGATGATTTCGGGCCCTCTGAGTTACGTAAGTACCTATTTTTTCTTAAAACAAACGTCTTCATTTTTGAAAATAAAGAAAATTTATTGAAATAAGGTCTTAGTTGAAAAAAATACAAATTATATATTAAAAAATGTGGAAATATACGGGATATTGAAATATATGCGAAGTATAAATCTAAGGAAATATTAAATTTATGTAGAAAGTTATTAAAATATTTGTAGCGTATGAAGATGTTGAAAAATTACCATAAAGTGGCAAATTCCCAATATTTGTCTATGTACTTATAAATAGTCCAGACGGCAGAGCAGTAAAAGTAGGCTTTGGCGTTTGTGTTTGAAGTAATCTATATTATTGTGCAGAAAAATCCCAAATATGATGTAGAATAAGAATCTGAGTATGCCTATTCCAAAAAACCTTTGCTAAATTCAGCGGAACAACAAACATACAAAAAATAAAACGAAAAATGACCCCTTTTTTGACATATTCTTCCCTGTAACATAAAAAAAAAAAAAGTCATTATTTTTTGTTTATTTGACGATTTTCTATAAACTTATAACAACTGCAAATCAAAAAAGTTCAATTTTGCATTAACAATGGGAGAAAAATGGCAGAAAATCATATGCATATTTGGAGCAATTTTTAAAATAAGTAAATATTTATAAATATTGATGAAACTTTGTGACCAAATAGTAAAACATTTGTCAATTGAACCCTAAAAATTTTACAACGATCGATCTCGTGGTTTTCGATTGACAGGATTGTTAATTAAGAAAATGTCAATGTTTATCACGTACCGTGGGTTTAAATTAAGGTTTAGAAAGGGTACACAATTTTTTAGAGCTACTTGTTGTCATAATAAGCAATGATCAATACTAAAAATACCTATTTTTACACCTTTTAGAATTTTTTTAAAATTTTTTAACATTTTACTCTATAAACAATTATTTATTCCCCAGGAAATCTTCTATGCAATCGACAAACTCTTGCACACATAAAAACTACATCGTAACCCCTTGCCTTTTCGCCAAATACGACAGCATTCTACTGTGTAGATTTTGAGATCTGAAATCGTTAAATAAACAAAACAATAAAGAATTACTTTTTTATTTGGGACTTACTTTCAATGTTACAGGGAAAAATATGTCGAATAGCGGGTCATTTTTTGTTCTTTTTGTATGTACGTTGTTCCCCTGAATTTACCAATGGGTTTTTGAAATAGGCAAACTCGGATTTGTACAACAAAAAGGCTGACTTCAAATACAAACGCCTTGAATGCTCTACATGGACTAAACGTGATAAACTAAGAATCTAAAATATTAAAATCATATGAAAATATTTATAAAAATAGTAAAACATTAAAAGTTAAGTTGATTATTACTGGAAATATCTGTTATAACCTCAAAATATGGCAAAAGTCACTAGAAACGGAAGCCATTTATAAAATAAGAGATATACGAGGCCTGTTCAGAAAATAATCTGACTTATTTTTAAAGTTATTATTAATTTCATACATTATTGGTCCTTGTCTTCTTCAATCTTCAATTCTTCATTTGAATTGGCCATTGAAGTCTTTGACGAATTTGTTTTTATGTCATCAATAGTCTGAAAACAGCATCCTTTCAGCACTGATTTTAATTTCTGAAATAAGACAAAATCGCAAGGGGCCAGGTCTGGCGAGTAAGGAGGGCGAGGGAGGACAGTAATCTGGTTTTTGAACAAAAGTGACGAATTGACAAAGCTGAAACTTTTTGCGGAAGTTTTCACGTAACCGTTATAAAACGCCTCGATAGTACACATGGTTCACTGTTTCATCTTCAGGCAAGAATTCAAAATGCACAATTCCATGAATGTCGAAAAAAACAGTGAGCATCACTTTGACATTGGATCGAGATTGACGTGCTTTCTTGGGGTGTTCCGTTGCCAGTCCATTGTGATAATTGAACTTTTGTCCCAATGTCGTGGCCGTAAATCCAACTTTCATCTCCCGTTATGATCCTTTGAATGCATGTTTTATCGTCATTGGGTTGTTCACAGAGTTGCCGACAAACGTCCACACGCTTTTCTTTCTGTTGTTGGGTCATCGAACTAGGAACAAATTTCGCAATTTCTCTGACAGTCAATCAGCGATTTGCACGCACCAGATCTTTGAAGTGGAAGACCTTCCTGGTCGAGGATCTTCTTGAATTGACTGACGACCACTTTTAAATCGTGAAAACCATTCGTAACATTGCGTACAATCCAGAGAATTATCTCCATGAGCTCCATTCCCACGAAAGTTTTCTCTAGTTCCTATAGAAACCGTACATCTCAAAAATCGTCACTAACACTTAAACACGTTGTATTCAAATACCAACATCACGAAAACTAAACGAGATCAACAATCCAAGAACATGTGGTTACAGAGGATGTTAAGCGCAACGCAATGCTGCCAACTCATATCACTAAATGTCTTGTGATAAATTGCGCGTAATTCAAAAAGTTTGGTTATTTTCTGAACATACCTCGTATGTAAAATTAACAATAATATAAATAATTTAAAGTAAGTTAATTAAAAATTTTGTCGTTTCAGCACCACCTTCGTATAATGAAGCTGTTTCCCACACGCAACGTTAATGGCTACCACGTGACAAATGGTTCTTGTTCACTGACATATGCTCTGTTGCTGTACATCCTCGTCTCTATAAACATTGTGCTTTAAAGTAACAAATTTTTATTAAAAACTTTTTTCCGTTTTTTTCCTGATTATATTTTTCCTCCCACCATTCCTCCTCTATATGTAGTGCGCTCTCTCTCACTTGCTCTCCAATCTCTCTCTCTCTCCAACCATAAGAAACTGGTTGAATTGTACTTACTTCGAACCTGTTTTTTTTTTTTAGTTTTATTGTAATATAGTTCGTTTTACAAGTTTATGAGAAAGATTACACAGCCACACACAAAAAAAGTTGTCTGTACTTTTCATGCGACATATGTTATCCGTAGTATTTTTGCCTCCTGAGCACGAATCCGGTGTCAGAATTGAGCAATCACATCACAGGAATTTCCTAACCTCAAAAATACAGGTCAAAAATAGCAAAAATTCACGAAAAAGTGTTTGGTAAAATACAGGGTATCCCAACGAAAAATTGACCCCCCCTATAATTGGAAAACCGAATAATATTTCAAAATTCGCGGAGACCCGTCGATTTTTGTTCTTGGGGGGAGCTTTTTTGACAGTCAAGCCAACTCGATATGTTCATCCCCCTAATGCCTAGCAACCCCAACTTAAAAATTTCAAATGCAACTACCCCACTTGTGGCACATCATTTTAAAGCCCTTTTCATTGCGAATACAGTGACGTACCGTTTTTAGAAATCGGTTGAGATTTGACAGAATTATTGGTTACAAACGAAAAGATGACAAACCAACTTACGCGTAGTAATTTCTACACAAATGCCCACCACTAATAAGTTTTTCATCTACTACACATGACCGCATTACCTAATTGTTATTGATGTGTCTATCAGTTTACAAAAAAGTCAGAAATGAAATAAAAAAGCTGAAGCAAATAAAACTAGATACTAAAATAGTTATTAGTAGAAGATACTTAAGTTTATAGGAATTCAGACCTTTTCAAAATAACAAAAAATCAGTACTACAAAAAAAGTCGGTGTTTTTTGCTTGTGACCAAGAAATCGTTAGTTTCAGCCGTTATTGAAAGTATTAACGTGTGTTCGAAATGGTTTATTCTATCGCGGAAAGAGTAGAAATTGTTGCAATTTATTATCGAAATCACGATTGCGCTAAAGCTACAGCACGAATTTTTAATGCCAATCATCCTGAAAAAAATGTAAACCACCAGTACGTTAAACACCTGATTGACAAATTTGTTGCAACAGGTTCGCTTTTAAACAAGAAACGTGAAGTAATTGGGCCAGTTCGAAATGAAGCAGTTGAAGTGGCAGTTTTGGGTCATGTACAGATGGATAATAAGCAATCGATTACAACTGTGTCTCAAGCTTCTGGCGTATCCCGTTCCAGTGTTCATCGAATTTTGAAAAAACACAAGTTTCATCCATTTAAGATGACGCTGGTTCAAGAGTTACATGAAGATGACTTTGATCGCCGTAACCAATTTTGCGAATACTTTAGTGAACAACTTCTACTGAATCCAAATCTTCTCTACAATACATGTTTCTCCGACGAATGCACATTTATGTTGAATGGCGAAGTGAATAGACACAATTGTCGTTATTGGAGTGATACTAATCCGCATTTAATCAGGGAATTTCATACTCAGACACCTCAAAAATTGAATGTTTGGGCAGGCATTTTGGGCGACCATCTTGTTGGACCATTTTTCATCCAAGGTAATCTCGATGGAAACACCTATCTAGAATTATTGGAAAGTACAATTGATCCTAGGATAACAGAGATTTTAGAAAGTGACGACAATTTACTAGAAAATGAAATAACCTTCCAACAAGATGGTGCGCCCCCGCACTATGCTGCTGCTGTGCGACAATTTTTGGATGACCATTTCCCGGGGCATTGGATTGGCAGAAGAGGTCCCGTCGAATGGCCACCAAGATCTCCGGATCTGTCCCCTTTGGACTTTTTTCTGTGGGGTCATTTAAAATCACGAGTGTACGCCACTCAGCCGGAAACATTGCAAGTGCTACGTCAGAGAATTGTAGAAGAATGCCGATTAATAACTGCGGATGTCTTTAATAATGTTCGAACAGAATTTGAAAACAGACTGTATTATTGTTTGGAAGTTAACGGGGGTCATTTTGAGCAATTCATCAAATAAATCTGATTTATTATTTGCTTCAGCTTTTTTATTTCATTTCTGACTTTTTTGTAAACTGATAGACACATCAATAACAATTAGGTAATGCGGTCATGTGTAGTAGATGAAAAACTTATTAGTGGTGGGCATTTGTGTAGAAATTACTACGCGTAAGTTGGTTTGTCATCTTTTCGTTTGTAACCAATAATTCTGTCAAATCTCAACCGATTTCTAAAAACGGTACGTCACTGTATTCGCAATGAAAAGGGCTTTAAAATGATGTGCCACAAGTGGGGTAGTTGCATTTGAAATTTTTAAGTTGGGGTTGCTAGGCATTAGGGGGATGAACATATCGAGTTGGCTTGACTGTCAAAAAAGCTCCCCCCAAGAACAAAAATCGACGGGTCTCGGCGAATTTTGAAATATTATTCGGTTTTCCAATTATAGGGGGGATCAAATTTTCGTTGGGATACCCTGTATATAAAAAAATTTTTTTCTATATTCAAATGTTCATTTATATGGTTAAAACCCCGCCGTGAATCTGCGGTCAGAATTAATGACTCTTTTTCTAACCTCAAAAAAACGGGTCAATTATGGTCAGATATCACGAATTTTCAGAAAATAACAGATTCGCGCCTTTGGTATACGGGGGTTTTCGGAGTCTCTGATCACGAATTTAAAATCCGAAATTTTTTAAAAACCTTTTTTAGTTTCGCTGTCTAACTTAAAATAAAAACAATTATTTACAATTAGTAATGTAACTACGTACCCATATTAGTTGATATGTAAATATCATGTAAAAATTTTTCTTTTTTTTCTTTTTTGGAAACGACAGAATATATTTTTTAATGTTCGGCGCCTCGATCACAGTGATAAAAAAATATGGTGACTTTAAAATAACAAGTCGCTTAGTTATACAGGGTGTTTCAGAAAGACCTCCCGTAAATACAGGGGGTGGTAGTACGATAAAAAATAAGAATTTTTTGTCTTATGAACTCTATGCCTGTCTCTTCTAGTGTTCAAGATACAGAGCGACAAAATAAAAATTTTGTATTAGAATTTTTACAAACATTTCCGAACGGTGCGAAATATTTTTATGAAATTAAGTATTCCGGGGTTTTTAAGGACTCCAAATTCGCTGGTCTAATTATTTTTTTGGTCATTTCATAGAGGGCGCTAGTTATGCTACATTCCATTTACATTTTAAGTTCAAATTTTTTTAAGGTTAAGTTTTTTACTATTCGGGTTTCAATTTCTAATGTATAATTTGATTTTCTAAAAATAATATACTCTTGTTAGAACTTCCTAATGTGGACGGTTTTCGAGAAAAAAGGCTTTTAATTGAACTCTTACAATATTACGGTGCGGTGTATAAAATAAGTGACATTTTTCAAAGTAGGCTTATGTCAAAAGTTATTGATGTATGTCTCTTAAACAACGCATACATCCTTAGTAATATTTTAAACTCTAATTAACTTTATATCAAAATTTTAGTGATTTTAATTAGTCATTACTAACTACAGACATTAAAAATCACTAAAATTTTGATATAATTAAATAATTTAATAAAATAAGTTAATTAGAGTTTAAAATATTTACTAAGAATATATGCGTTGTTTATGCGACATCCATCAATAAGTTTTGACATAAGCCTACTTTGAGAAAAGTAGGCTTATTTTCTTCACCGTAATATTGTAAGAGTTTAATTAAAAGCCTTTTTTCTCGAAAACCGTCCACATTAGGAAGTTCTAACAAGAGTCCATTATTTTTAGAAAATGGAATTAGTTATACATTAGAAATTGGAAATTGATAAAAAACCTAACCTTAAACAAATTAGAACCTAAAATGTAATAGGAATGTAGCGTAACTATTAGCTCCTCTATGAAATATACAAAAAATAATTAGACCAGCGTATTTGGCGTCCTTAAAAACCCCGGAATATCAAATTTCATAAAAATATTTGCACCATTTGGAAATTTTCGCAAAAATTCTATTTAAAAAATTTTATTTTGTCAGTATCTCGAAAACTGGAGGAGATAGACATTGTGTTCATAAGACAAAAAAATTCTTACTTTTTGTCGTACTATCACCCCCTGTATTTACGGGAGGTCTTTCTGAAACACCCTGTATAAAAGCAATCTGTTTTATTAGACTATTTTCCATTGTAACTTCGCACAATGTAGGTCGATTTAAAAAAACTTTCCATAAGGATGGTGGGGGATCTTTAACATTTTGGGTGAATTACACAAAAGTGTACAATTACACGCTTAATGTGGTGTGAAAAGGGTTTATCTCAAGTACCTGTCCTTATACAAAAAATTAACGATTTTCAAACTCATCTAAATACTCTAAAATTAAAAGTGATGGAAACTGATATTAACTGTCAGGAAGATATTATTCTTAGGGATGTTGATGTGAACAAGAATAATATAAAAGTATTTCGTTTGGGAAAGTACGACTCACATAAAAATCGTCCACTTAAAGTTATTTTTAGCTTTGCTGAGGATGCAATAAGTGTTCTAAAGGCTAAGAAAAATATTAAAGTTCCTGGGATTAAAATATATGGTGATCAGACGAAGGCGCAGAGAGAGTATTACATGCATATTAAGAAAAAACTAGAAGAAATTATTTCTAATGGCGATAATTCAAAAACAATAAAATACATAAATAATAAACCAACGATTGTCACTAAAAAGGATGCAACCAATTAAAAAAACTGAATAATAATTGTAATATTCATTATAATTCTGACATTATATACGTTAACATCCAAAGCCTAGTAACTAACCGTGATCAAGTAATTAGCAGCATTGCATCCGGTAATCCGAAGATAATATTACTTAGAGAAAATCGAACAACAAGTGATGTATTAAATGTTGAACTAAATACTGCAAATTATAAAGTTATACGATGTGATTCTTCGAGCAGGCATACCGGTGGAGTTGTGATCTATGTGAAAAACAATTT